TCACCCCTCATACCCTCCCACTCAAAAGCCATGTGAAACTGCTGCTCTCTCTTCATTATTATTCCTTATTAAATGAGCTTGACTTTGTTAGAAAGACTGAAAGAAAGAGTTTGACCATGGCAATTGCTTATTCTGGACTTCATTTCTGAATTCTAGATTTGGTTATATTTAGCAAAGCTACAACCGTCATCATGCCCAAAACCAGGAAGAAGACACCATTCACAAACCACCCCCTGAAAATCTGCAGTTGCCTCTAAAAAACCAGACTTCCCAGCAGGCAAAGACATCTGAAGTGGGAGGGATCAAATTGGTGTTTGCGTCAAGAGAAGGTCTCAGGTGCTTATAACTAAATCTCTCTGCCTGGCACTCAAGGTTCTCCACAAAATTCGTCCTTCTTTTTCTCTCCAATGTACCTTCTGCTCTGGTCAAACATCCTCATTATCTCCCCTGTTCATACCTTTTGGTAACACTGGTCAATTCCCTTCCCTGCCTGCTTCTGCTCAAGCTTCTAGCCTCTTATCAAACCTTCTGGGACCACTCTTTCCCCAGACACTCGCTGCTCCCTTTCCCCACAATTGGCACAGGGCTGAGGCACAGGAGGGAAGCCGTGCATTCTTGGTATCTATTCATCAGTCATTCAAAAGGTCCAGGGCCACTGAAGAAAGTAAGCAGCAAGCACCTCCAGGGAGCAACTTAAAGAATTTCATTCTACCACTCCGTGTCCTCTGTCCTTCTTTTCTTGATTCTGGCGAGGAAATGTGTACTGATGAAAATGGTAACACTAAACTAGTCAGTATTCTCAAAATGTATCATGCTGTTTCACCACTTTGCCTATGCGATTCTCTCAGCCTGAGAGGGCCTGGGTAACCCCCATCTGAAACATCTGCTGGGCAATTTCTATTCCTGTTCAAACTTCATGTCACCTGCGAACTCTCACCCCCAGGCTCTTTATCATAACATCCTTTGCCACCTAAGGTATGTATGTCAAAGGCCATGCTTAAGTGCTGGACACTTATCTCAGGTGTTGAGCTCTGTTAAGAGTCAGGCCTGTGTCCCATCCATCTCAGGATCTCTGGAACCTAATACAGTGCCTGCCACAAAGAGGCACATATGTGTTTCATATTGATACCACCAACACATTAGAATTAGGTGCCTTTAATGGAATTTTTGGTGGTTTCACACACATTTTGAAGCCTTACTAGTTCGCTATGTAGGTGGGAGAAATTATCAAAGTTTATTGATGTGGACATTTGGTACTTCTCATCAGCCTTGGACCTGGATTCCTTGAATATAAATTAGAAAACTGCTCTGAGGAGCCATCTAGTCCACCTTATAGCTCCAGAATGTTGTCTTGAATACAGTAATAAATAAATAAACATTTATTGTTTAAAGCTTAGATATAAGTCCTCGTATAGCTAAGGAAGTATGATAAAAGCACAGCTTCTCAAGCCTTCCTTGAACATTGCTCCAATTTTCCCATTGAGCTCATTCTGGAAGCTTAAACCAAATCTTCCCTTGACATCATATGCCTATTAACTTAGACATGATTTAGCATCTCATCATGGCATCTTCTCTGAGAAAGCTAGAAAGAAAATATTCTCCCTGGCACCCAGCCTAGAAATAGCCATATTCCTCTAAACTCATAACTTAAAGCCTTCACTTCCCCCAAACAGCCCCTGCTGGACTAGTTAGTGAAACCAGGCCAGGAAGGCTGATATACCAGGGGAGATATGGCAGTGCGGCATCTTTTTGTCTTGCCCAGCACCCGCTCCTTGGGGTTCTTGCAATTCCTCACGAAAAAGCACACACCAATACCCGCACTAGAGAAAAAGAGATCATCAGTGGAATGTGGCGGTAATCTGGTCTGTGTTTTGAAGCCTCTCACACCACTCCTCCCTAAACTGCCTGGCCACTGCTCTGGGCACCCAGGGTACAACTCCCATGGTCCTTAAACCACTCTGGCTGGGACTGTAGACAGGTCAGCACTTGGGGACTCACAGGGAAGAGGGCGCAGGGAAGGAGCGTGGCTACCCAAAACATCTGTTAAGCCTTTAAGGAGCTGGTGAGGACTCTGCAAAGAACATCTGGCTCTATCCCCTAACAATGGGGGAAAGGAACTGCTTCAGATTGCTGCAGCTCAACTAGCTTTCACATTGCTCCCACTCCCCTTTAACACACACACACACATACACACACACACTCTCTCCACATATATACATATGATGTATAATGCTGCTGGTAGGTAATGGCTACCATTTATTGAACACCTGAAAACGTGAATTATATATATTGCCTCATTTAATCTTCATGACCAGCCCATTAGGCAGTGGTTCTCAAAGTTGACCTTGCATCAGAATCTCTCCAGGAACTTATTAAGCCCCACACTCACAGCCTATGTAGTGAGGCCTGAGAATCTCCATTTCCAACAAGCTTGCAGGTGATAAGGATGCCCCATTTTGAGAACCACTGCCACAGGGAAACAGAGATTCAAGAGTGGTTTGGAATGTCTTGCCTACAGTTCCACAGCTGGTAAAGAACAGATCCAGAATTTGAACCTAGATCTGTCTGACTCTATAGACAGTGCCGGTAACCATGCTACTGTATGTGTGAATGTATGCCTCATCTTCCCAAATTCATTGGCAGAACCTTAAAGGCAGATTCAATCACACTTTAGACCTCCCTTATTCATCTCAGAACTTCATACGGTCTTTGGACTTGGTAGGTGCTACATAAATACTTTGTGTACTGGCTCCTACATTTCTACATACTTCTAAGAACCACAAATTCAAACTCAACTTAAGCCAAAGAACACAAAAAGGGTAGCATAGCCAGACCCAGTTTTACGTGACATTCTCTCTTGCTACTCCGTCTTTGCCCACAGTGCCACCACACTAACTCCTACTCACTCTTCAGTCACTTCCTTCAGAAAATGATCCTGGGCTCCCTAAAACTGGGGGCCACTGCACCCTAAGTTTATCTCTATGATGGTATTTATCAATCCACTATAACTGGCTATTTTCCATCTTTTAAAGCAGTTGGTAAAGGCCAGCTCTGGTTTAACAGCATATCCCAGAACCTAGCACAGCACCTGGCACTTCACAGGCAACTCCATAAACTGCTGAATGAATAAATGCAGAGCTGCAAGTCCTAAATTCCATGTAAAAATATCACAATACATGATGCGCAGTTCTCAAGGATGAATCCCAGAGAAGAGGAAGGCAGCCTAGGTAACAAAGACCAATTTTGCCTTTTCTCTTCCCTATCACTCTTCTCACACTTGGAGAACATGCACCGCTTAGGGCAGCATCATCCTTGATGAGACAACATCCTAGCTGAACAAAATGCTCGTGGGCTATAAGGTCAGCAGAGGCCATTCAGAGGGGAGGAAAGTGCTCTGTGGCCCTTCATTTCTCCTGATTTCTCTCTGACACACTCTCCTTTTCACCATTTCTCCACCCCACTGCAGTTAAGGGCTTTGGCACAGGGATGAAACAGACAGATCAGACTCAAGGTGCGGATCTGGCAGCGGGCACAGAAGCATCTCCCAACCTGCACCAAAGTCCACAGGAAAGATCCAAAGGGACAGTGACTCAGGCCCCAGATAAAGCCCAGCTAGAGCAGTACTGAGATTAGAAGAGCAATAATTTCACACAGACATTAACTGTCAGACATCTTTTTTTTAAATCGTGTTTTTAAAGTATAGGCTTCAACTCTATTCCCAGAAAACTGGGCCCTGCTGAATCCAGTGCTTACACAAGCTGAGAGCCAAACACAGTTTCCTCCTCTTCCAAACCCACCCACCAGCCTGCAACACCCACCATGGTAAGCATTTCCCAGGCCCAGGTCAGGACCCTTGCTTCAACTTTAGTTTGCAAAACGCCCCTTTTTAAAGAGGCCTCTTAGCTTTCTCTCTTCCCTCGGTAATAAAACTGTTCCCTTCCACCACCATGTTGCAGTAATAGAGACCTCTCCCTTCCTCCAACCCCTCTCGGTCTATAACACAACCTACAGCAGGTCGGCCCCATCCAATTAGTCTGAATTGCTTCATGCCAAGGAAATTGCTGCTTTTATTAAAAATAAAAGCACACTAGGCAGGCGATGGGCTGTGAAAAGTATGAGTCTGGCATAATTATGAAGGTCGAGGTTAAGGTTACCAAAAGAGACATGCAAAGATTTCCCGAAAGCCTGGAGGAAAAAAGATGTATATCTACGTGAGTATAGATACACAGATGAAACACAGAGGAATTTACACAGCAGATCTAAATAACATGCTCTCTGACAGTGAAAAAACAAAATCAGAGCCACTCTCAAGTAATTTTTCTTTTGGTTAAAAAAAAAAAAAAAACACTAAAGCGAGAGGAAGAGGGGCCTACTAGACTGAGTTCAGAATAACCACATTTGTTTTATATAATTTTTGTTATCTTTGCTATATCCTGGGGACCCGATTACAGTTGGGTCAGGAAACAAACCTACTAGTGAAATCCACCAAGAGCCTTGGCCCTTGGAAAAACACGTTCACATTCTCCGAAAATCCTCCCTTCCTTCCAATGCCTGCTCATGGAAGTAGGAAAGTTGGGTAGGAGACGGAGAAACCCCTCTCTTCTTAAAAGTCCCCCCATCCACACCCTTCAGCCTTCACATCAAGATTTTAAGTTTTAGGAGGATGACAAGCCCATCACCCTGCCTTTGGCATAAAGCTTTACACTTTCACACATACATTTTCTTGTGTGATCCTCAAAATTTGGCTTCTCAATATTAAAAAAATAAAAATAAAAGGCCACTAACGTAAACAATTTCGGCAACCTCCCCACACCCCCATAAGCCCAGTCACTTTCAAATCTCAATTTTAAATCTCTCAAGGACAATGACTCACAGGGCAAGTGAAGGGGGAAGGGAGGGTCAACTGGTCAAAGCCCATTCATACATGCAACAACTAGAAACCACAGTACTGCCGCATCAGCACAAGATTTTAATTTACGGCGCATTGAGCCACACCGTACCTTCCGCCAACACCTCGTCCACTGTGACCTGCTGTCGCCCGATGCCAAAGACTCTTCCGATGTAGCCACTGCCCAGGCCCGAGGTGCTGCCCCCTCCTCCGCTAGAGCCGGAGCCCAGGCCAGAGCCGCCCTGCTCTCGCCGGGAGTCGAAAAACTTCTTCATCTTGCGAATAGGGAGCAGCAAAGCAAAATACCGATGGTTTCTAGATTTTTTTTTTTTTTTTTTTTTAAGAAAAGAGATCCAAGGATTTCTTCTCGGATTTCAGCTCGGAGAGGAGCCACCCGAATCCGGCCGTGGGGGTGGGGGCTGAGGGAGGATGCCTATAGGAATATGCGTGTCAATCGCGCGGCGGGTCCCCTCCTCCTCCAGAAAGCGATTCGTGTAAGTTTAAACCTGTGATGACAGAGGAAGAGAGAGAGGATGAATCAGTAACACACTTAAAAATTCAACCGCTGAGTCCTAGGGGGAGCAAAAGCCATCATCCTGGGGAAACGCTTCATATATTTTCCTGGCGAGAAAAACCCTGGGGCTGAAAACGCGACCCCGGCCCCAGAACCCGGGATCCCCGAGCCGGGAGCTCGGAAAAAGGAGGGATCCGAGCTGCTGGGGCAGCGCCGACCCTCCCGGGCACTGCCTCCCGCTCCTCCCGGGTCTCCCCGCCGCCCCTCGAGGCAGCATCCTGGCAGCACCCACTTGAGACGGCTCGGCGGCCGGCGCCCAGCTACCAGCCCCGCGACATTGTCACGGCCGCCGGGCCGGCCTGCGACGCAGAGAGGAGGCGGCGCTGCAGCGAGAGCCGGGGCCGCGCTCGGCTCCAGCCCGCCCGCCAGCTGATCCCGGGAGCGCCGGGCGGAGACTGACCCGCCGCCCCTCCCCCGCGCGCGCTCCCGCCCGGCTCCATCCACCCAACCAGGAAGTGAACCGCCGCCGGAAGTGCCGCTTGGGGCGGCGCGGCAAGGGACCGGGGCCTCTCCTGCAACCGCCGCTCTGTCGCCACAGATGGGAAGGAGTAGACGGCGAGAAGAGGACCGGGCGAAGGGGGTCTCAGTGCAGACAGAGTTCTGGAAAAGACTGTTGATATCACCCGAGCCGCAGGGCAAGCTGGGAAAGGTAGCTAGGCGCAGTCCGGCGACTGGACTACAAATCCCAGCATGCTCCTGGAGGAGCGGGCGAGGCGCAGCCGTGGCCTCCACGGCCTGGAAGGAGGTTTGTGGGGTGGCGCGTATATGGGGACTCGGCAATTTAAACACATCCCGTGAAGAAACTGCCAACGACTAGGTTCCCCGCCGCTGTATGTTCCACTCTTCTGGAGCCATCTTATTTGCGGCCTGGCCTCCTGGCACAAGGGATTCTGGATTTTGTGGTTTCCGAACGGATCGAGACTGACATCCGAAGGACGCCAGCTTAACCGCTTAGACCCTAGTGGGTCCTGTGGGTTTCCCCACGTCACCTGGGCTGAAATGGAAGCGAGAAGTGATCGGGAACATTGTGCTGGCAGTTGGATCCGGCTGCACCGGAGCGCCAGCCTTAAAATAAGTAAAACCGATGCCCTTCGCCCCTAACCTCAAAAGCTGCTTTTGCGTCTAGAGGTTATTGAGAGCCGGCTCTGCGGTCAGCTCTGAGCTAGGCGCTGTGAGAACGCTCAGTAAGACAGTGTCTCGTCTGAAGGTGTACAGGCGAGATTCAAACCGAGAAACGGCCAAAGGTTGTGTGCAAGGCAGATCCTAGGATACCAGAGGCCCAGCCCGTTGGCTTGACCTCAAACTCGGGGGCTTTTCAGCCCATGCTGCCCCTTAATTTTTCCTCCTTTGCTGACGCTGTGGGTGCGTCCCAAAGCCTGACCTTCACTAGCCCCCTTGCACACAAGAACACTAACCCTAACCTGACCAGTTATTTATTTCTCACTTCAAGATTCTTCCACTGATACTTATGTTTCCCTGATACCGTCCAAGTGCTGAGGGTGGGGATGGACTCTGTGATTTGCATCTGCCAAATGCAGAAAATTTGGAAAGCCAGTTGGTACACTTTTCCGACCCTAGATTTCCTGATGGATGATGCTGAAGAGTGGCAAGTTCCTGCCAAAAACAAACAAAAAAACCTGCCATGATTTACTGATATGATTTTTCTAACGCCTGAATATGGGTTATTGTTCATTTCCGCCCGCTCTCCCCACTCCCTAGTGCTTGTCTCAGAATTTTTTTCAGCGGTATTTGAGTAGAGAAGGGTGCCCCAGGGAAAAAAATGGTTCTTGCTTTCTCCATTCTGAATACGGAGCTGAGCTCTGACTGGGCTAACAGTGGCGTTTGGTGCTGCTGCTGCTGCTGCTGCTGCTGCTGCTGCTGCTGCTGCTGCTCCTTGTTTAAAGTAGTGCCATTGTAATTAAACTCCGTGTAGAGATAGCATCTTTTCTTCTGGAGAGAGTCTGTGTTGTCACCTCAGTTCACAAATTCACGAAGCCACCTCCAGGGTGAAATGCAGCACCTATTCCCTCAAACTAAGCCCACGAAGGCATGTTCTCTGCACTTTCCTTAAAAGGCCAGATTTTTGTCTAAGGAAGTTTGAAACAGACCTTAAAATAGATGAGAAAGCTCTTTTTGAATTAGACTCATTGACCCCCATTTTTCTCAGCACTTATTTGTCTTGACTTTTTTTTAAAGAAGCTCTGCTAGGTCCTAAAATCAATCTGATGCTCAGTTTTTACCTTTCTAGACTTTCTTGTTACCAGACTAGTCCAGGCTTACACAAATCTCAAGTCTTACTTCAGTGATACAAAAACTCCCAATACGCTTAAGGTAGCTAACATGCATTTATTGAACACCCACATGAATGCTTTGATCAGAAGCTGAGGGAAGAGGTTTAAAAAACAAAAATCAGATGACTAGATTGCTTGTCCTCCATTCCCTCACAGACAAATAGCAATTATAATAACAAATCCACAGTTTTTCTTGCTTTACATATATTAAGTATATAATGCTCAAAGGCACCCTATGAAGTAAAGTACCACTATTATACTCATTTTATAGGTGGGTAAGTAAAGCAAAGAGATTAGTGACTTACCCAAAGTCACACAGTAAATAGCAAAGCCAGGATTCAAACCCAAACATTTTAGCTTCAGAGCCCAGTTCTTACCTAGCTATACTAAACTGTCTACTTAGAGCAAACATTAACTGATTAAAAGACTAGTGAATAGTTAGGAACCTATGCACAAGCAGCATAGGACCAGGAGACAGGAAACCTCTGCCATGTCATAGCTGGGACCTTAGACCACTTGTGTCACTGGGCTTATTATCTCAGTTATAAAACCAGAGCTCTTACAACTCTTAGTAATTTTTTAGTTCCTGAGTACAAAATAATGAACAGATCAACCACTATAATCTCAAAACTATCACACTTTCTGTAGAATTTGTCCCACCCTGCTTTGCATTCCTATTCAACTTTTAATGTATATTGCTGCCTCAACCAAACACCTCAAAGCCAGAGAACCGTCTTCCACTTATCTCCTTGGGCATCCAGTATAATAGTTTACATAGAGTGTGTTCTTAGCAGTACTTAAATAAAGTAAATAATTTACTTTAAATGTGACACAAAACAGAGCTATCTGATTAAGGTGGAAAAATTGATTTGAAGTATCCTAATGTGTTTTGAACTAGGTGTGGAAGATGCTATGGGTAAATATTCAAAGGGAGTGGGAAAAGAAAGTGACATTTACTATTGTTACAATAGCGATCTTATAACTGATGGAACAGACTCTTTGAGGCAATAAGATGCCAAAGTATAAACAAGACCTAAGACTATGTCAGGCAAGGGTTAAGTCACACATCCCTACACTTGAAGAGTAAACCATCTTCTAACTGCCACAAGGTTTTTCTTTTTCTCTGGTAGCTAAATAGACACTGGCCTGGAGATAAGCAATATTGAAACAATTGTAGCTCACTGACCACCAGATGCTGACTAACTGTATCCCCCCAACCCCTGTTCCACAAACCATAAGTATGGCTTTGATTGGACAAGAGACAGATTTCAGTGACATCCTAGTAAGACACTACCAACCACAGACTGGTTCTGGCTGGTTTTCAGAGGCCGTGCACTGAGTACCTTCATGTCCTCTGCTTCACCTAGTTGTAATGCATTTAAATGTTAAATCTCCACCCCAAAGAGAACATAGGACATATATAACATGCATGTTTACTCACTATGCATGCATGTACTGCCCCTGCTTTGTGAATAATCAAAGCTCCTGTAAGTTCTTAAATGTGTATTCTTAGCCAACTCATTGGGCGTAAATTTGTGTTCCACTCTTTCCTCCCTCTAAATACCCGCTTTCAGTGCCAGAGTCTGCACTTCCCAGCCCATCAGGATCACCAACCTGCAGGCTGCAACTCTTTATAAGAAATAAAGCTCTCCTCTCGAAATTTATAAACCTTGGGATATTTCACTTAACACTATGTATCTTCCATATGCTAGTTACAGAATTAAAAAATATATGTATTGCTTTATTGTTTTATTTTAATTTTATTTATTTTATTTTTTATTTATTTATTTTTTTTGAAATAGAGTCTCACTCTGTAGCTCAAGCTGTAGTGCAATGGCACGATCTCGGCTCACTGCAACCTCTGCCTCCCAGGGTCAAGTGATTCTCATGCCTCAGCCTCCTGAGTAGCTGGGACTACAGGTGTGTGCCACCGTGCCTGGCTAATTTTTTGTATTTTAGTAGAAACAGGGTTTTACTATGTTGCCCAGGGTGGTCTCAAACTCCTGAGCTCAGGCAATCCACCCACCTTGGCCTCCCAAAATGTTGGGATTACAGGCGTGAGCCACTACGCCTGGCCTATTTTTTTTTTTAATAATTATATAAAAAATAGAGATGGTGTCTTGCTTTGTTGCCCAGGCTGACCTCAAACTCCTGGACTCAGGTGATCCTCCCACCTCGGCCTCCCAAAGTGCTGAGATTACAGATGGGAGCCACCGTGCCTGGCCAATATTATTTTATTTAATCTTCATGTTTGCCTCCAAAGTAGACAGTATTATCTATTTTATCAAAGAAAATACTGTTATAATATTATTCCCAATTTTATAGATGAACATGAAGATTTTGTTAGCAGATGAACATGTATGGTTTGTTAGGTTTGAAGGAAATGATTTGACCTGTGGTACACCTAAATCATGTCACCATAAACCCAGTGTGCTGTATCTTTGAGGAAATCAAAGGAAAGGAGACCACCATTAATTAAAATCCTTAACTAAGTCCAGCACTATGTTGGGTATTTAATCATACCATTTAACCCACACAATACATCTATGAGGTGTGCATTACTTTTATTGGTGTGGAAACAGAGGTTGAGCAGGGTTAGAGTCTGTCAACTGTTTCTACAAAACATCTTGAAAAGGGCAGAGCCAAGACTGACCTCAAAACCCACATCATTTTCATTACACCATATAGGCTTTCTGTGTTGCTGTCTTTTAGCGAAGTGGAACTTGTTAGAAATGCAAATTTTGGAGCCCCATCCAGACCTACTGAATAAGAGGGAAGGGCAGAGGCAGCAGTTTCTGTTCACAAACCTTTCAGGTAATTCTAACACACATTCAAGTTTGAGAACCACTGTTTAGCAGACGCGAACTTATAAGAACCATGTCCTTTTTAAAAAAATGACAGTTTTTGCCCGGGTGTGCTGGCTCACGCCTGTAATCCCAACACTTTGGGAGGCCAAGGCAGGTGGATCACCTGAGGTCAGGACTTCGAGACCAGCCTGGCCAAGATGGTGAAATCCCGTCTCTACTAAAAATACAAAAATTAGCCGGGCATGGTGGCATGTACCTGTAATAGCAGCTCAGGAGGCTGAGGCACGAGAATCACTTTAACCCAGGAGGTGGAGGTTGCAGTGAGCCGAGATTGCACCACTGCATTCCATCCTGGGAGACAAGTAAGACTCGGTCTCAAAAAAAAAAAAAAAAAAAAAAAGACGTTTCTTGATCTTTTTATTTAAATTTTTAATTTTATTTTCTTTTTCCTTTTTATTTTCCTTTAATTTTTTTGAGATGGAGTTTTGCTGTTGTTACCCAGGCTGGAGTGCAATGGCGTGATCTTGGCTCACCGCAACTTCTGCCTCCCGGGTTCAAGTGATTCTCCTGCCTTAGCCTTCTTAAGTAGCCGGGATTACAGGTGTGCGCCACCATGCCTGGCTAATTTTGTATTTTTAGTAGAGACGGAGTTTCTCCATGTTGGTCAGGTTGGTCTCGAACTCCCAACCTCAGGTGATCTGCCCACGTCAGCCTCCCAAAGTGCTGGGATTACAGGTGTGAGCCACCACGCCCAGCCTAATTTTCTTTTTTAAACTGAGCCTTGTCTTCTTATTTTCCACTTGATTTGGGTTTTGAATTTTAAGAAAGTAATTATGTGCTCATTGAAGAAAGTAGATAGAAGAAAATAAAAGTCAGCTGTAATTCTACCACTCAGTGATAACTGCTATTGACATTTTGATCAATTTCCTTTTAGCGTTTTTCCATATATAAGTACATTTTTACTGTATTAGATCACATTGTATATTTAATTTTTTTTTCATTTCATAGTTTCCTATTTCATTGTATATTCTCCAAAATATTCTTTTAGTGGCTGCTTAATAATCAGTGCTTTACTGTCAATTTTTTTTTAAATGTTGCTTTTTATGTACGATTAGAATGAATATTCTCTTGTATGCTTCTTTGATTTTCTTTCTTCTTCTTTTTTTTTTTTTTAAGACAGGGTCTTGACCTACCACCCAGGCTGGAGTGCAGTGGCACAACCTCAGCTCATTGCAGCCTCAACCTCCTGGGCTCAAGCAGTCCTCTCAGACCACCATGCCTGGCTTTTTAAATTTTTTTATTTTTGTAGAGACAAGGTTTCACCATGTTGCCCAGGCTGGTCTTGAGCTCCTGAACTCAAAGCAATCCACCCGCATCAGCCTCCCAAAGTGCTGGGTTTAAAGGTGTGAGCCACTGCGCCTGGCCTGATGTTGGTTTTTGTTTTGTTTTGTTTTGTTTTGTTTTGTTTTGTTTGAGAAGGACCCTTGCTCTGTCTTCCATGCTGGAGTGTAATGGTGCAATCTCGGCTCACTGCAGCCACCACCTCCTGGGTTCAAGTGATTCTCCCGCCTAAGCCTCCAGAATAGCTGGGATTACAGGCACCTGCCATCATGCCCGGCTAATTTTTGTATTTTTTGTAGGCACAGGGTTTCACCGTGTTGGCCAGGCTGGTCTTGAACTCCTGACCTCAGGTAATCCACCCACCTCAGCCTCCCAAATTGCTGGGATTACAGGCGTGAGCCACCACGCCTGGCCCCCTGATTTTCTTTCTAAGGCTATGTTGTTATAAATGAAATAACTGGGTCAAAAGGTATGAATGTTTTTACAGCTAG